TCTCCTCTAATTATTATCTACTCTTGACGTAATTAAAAATGACCACAAAAGCATTAAAACTTTATTAAATTTTTGTGGGTACATCAACATAAACTATTACAAAAATGAGATGCATAAAAGCATGACTGATATCTCTTACCTCTTTCTTTACAATAGCAAGGAACAGTTGATGGAGGTTGTCCCAGTCTCTGTTATTTAGACTAGCAGTGACACCACAGTCAAGAAGAACTAGTGATGGGTCACCTCCTCCTCCTACTGAGGGGTCAGTCTGTACCAAGAGGTTCCCTGGGTGCATGTCACAATGAACAAAGTTGTGTACAAAGAGCTGGAAATATAATAATAATTAATAATAATAATAATAATAATAATGGTTATAGTATAATAGCTAAAAATTTTGAGGGATAAACTTTCTACAAATAAGTAGAGAATTTTTTTGAATTGATTTTTAATATAATATATAATTGAACTACACTTTAAAAGTAGTTGCCCTAAAGTTCCCATGCAGTTATAATAAATCCTAACCATGTTTAGCAGTACATCAATGCCAAGTGATGCTATCCTTTTCTTTAGTGAAGTTTGCTCACTCTCTTTTACATATTGCGATATATGAACACCTTCCTACATGCACAAATGAAATAATACAAATAAATATGTATTACTTACTTCAAATGTCTCTACTAGTACTGAATTGGTTACAAGTGTATGGATTGGTTGAGGGATTTTGATGTGTTTATGTGATTTAAAGTTCTTTCTAAACTGGTCCATACTGACAGCCTCAGCTTTGAGATCCAACTAATAATAGAAAAGAAAATAGTTAGCACAAATCAAGCCTGTACATGCTGTGTACACTGTACATATAATATATGCATGTACATCTAATGCATTTAGATTTTAGACTATTGTCATACTTATACTATGCTTCAATAACAGGTCTATATACATGCTCCATTTTGGACAAGCTCTTATAGTATTAAACTTACTTGCTTTTTCATGACAATCCCAAACTCATCCACACACTCTCTCAGACTGATCCAGTAAACCGAAGGAAACACTCTATCCACAAACCAAGCCACAGTCTCCATTAGGTACACATCTCTCAGTACAGATCCCACCACACCTGGATGCACCACTTTAACAGCTACTGGTAATGATCCCCCATTAGCTTTTACTGCAGCATCAGCACTGCATTGCATTGAATCAGTACTTAAATCCCATTTATACACTTGAGCTATGCAACCACTACCAATAGGAGTATGGTCATATCTAGTGAACATGTCTTCCCATTGAGGGCCAAAGCTGTCTTCAAGAGTTTGCTTTGTTGCGTCCCAAGAATGCGGAGTGCAGTCTCGTTGTAGCTGAGATAAGAATGCACAAGTGGACTCTGAGAAGATGTCAGGTCTGGTGCTAGCCCATTGGCCCAGTTTAATGAATGCAGGGCCAGCTCTTTCAATGGAGAATAATAGTAGACTCCATTTAAGAGACAATATGAATCTCAGAGGTAATAGGATCTCGATGACATGACACAGTAGAACTGGCGAAAAGAGAAGACCAAGATAAAACAAACGAAATACGACAATTAATCTATTAAAACTTCCATCTGGTATAACGATTGGTTTGTCAATAAAGCCACTCTTAGACTCAATGCAGTGTACTGATCTGTTATTATTCAATATCAGCATAGATCCAATCACAGCAGAGCACGAAGTACCCACCATTAACACTCTAGGCCTGCAATATCTTCTTAAAGTTCCCTGCAGTTTTAGTGCAGTGATATGGTAACTTTTTAAAGTTCTTAAGCATCTCATGGAAGGACTGATTCCTGCAGGACACTGTAACAGAACTTGAACCAGGCGAAGATGGAAAAACCTATAGGTGGACATGTTTAAAAGTTAGCTTTCCTCCGCCCAGAGTTGAATTGAATTTGGTTTCGCGGGAAAACACGTGTTACTGGCGGGTAAAAGGGCGTAGTTATAACCAGTATCCGGGAATATCCTAAGTGTTTACAACCTATAAAATCCAGTATTTTGTTGCCACACCTAAATTTTAAAATGGCTTGTTTCTGCTCCTGTATCTGGGGTAACCCTGATCCCGGTCCTGTGAGGCTTAGAGAAGTACAGCAAGTGGTCATAGATACCTCAAAAATGGGTGAGTTAGAACTTACTCGTAGAAATGCCCATCAGAATATTCTTTGATAAGATGAACCGCTTTTTATGCACTGGACGACATGTTCCTGCATTTCTAGTGTCTTTGGTATTGTATAACAGCTTGTTCTATGTATCATGTGTATTTGTATTACAATACCAACAAGGCTATTAGTGTAATTGCTTTCACCACCTTGCATTAAGACTTATAGAGGTTCTCTCTACCTTCTAATGCTTCTAGAGAAGTCTTTTGGGGTGTGTTTTGATGTCCTTATGCTGTGTAGCAAGTTTGAGCTGATTCCAACAAAGAACTTTCAAGTTATGAGCATTTTTAAAACGGGCCAACTTTTGAAAAATACCCAAGGCTATAGCCCATGGTTTTTTTTCCAAAAAATGGCTCTGAAATCACTCCAAATTTTTATTACATTTTCTGATACATATTGATGTCCTAATGCTGTGTAGAAAGTTTGAACTGATTCCGACTTCAATTTTTCAAGTTACGGCCATTTTAAGAAAACGCCAAATTCCGAAAAATACCCAAGGCTATAGCCCATGGTTTTTTCAAAAAATGGCTCCAAAATCACCCCAAATTTTTATTACATTTTCTAATACATATTGATGTCCTTATGCTGTGTAGCAAGTTTGAGGTGATTCCGACTTCAATTTTTAAAGTTACGGCCATTTTAAGAAAACGGCAAAATTCCGAAAAATACCCAAGGCTATAGCCCATGGTTTTTTCCAAAAAATGGCTCCGAAATCACCCCAAATTTTTATTAAATTTTCTGACACATATTGATGTTCTTTATGTCATCCTCCTATCCTCCAGGGGTTGATTGTGTTGTTGTGAAGTCGGGTAGGCGTGTCTGTGGTACTGGAGCTGCACTAGCTAATGCTCCAATAGTCCAGGATAAGAGCTACTTTGAAGTGAAGATACAATGTGGAGGTTAGCAGTATAATAATACTAATATACATGTACATATTAATACATGTATGTATTTCCCTCTTTCTTGGACTCATTTCGTAATATATACATCTTCTGCTCGAAATTTACTAGTCCAGATTTAGGGAATTCTGTGAATGTATATATACAATGTATGTACAGTGTATATTGGTTTTATAGTGTTGTTTCTTTATGTTTTTGTGACTGAAGTGGAATGCAATATGTCTTCCAGTTAAATTAGATATTGTATTATTATGACTCTTTGGCTAAGGATGGCTGAGTTGTTTAGAATATAATATATCAGGTGTTTTGGTTGTGACTGAAGTTAGACCAGTAGTAGCCTGTACCACTCCTTAATATAGTGTTGTTTAATACATACTGGACAGTGGTATCACTCCTTCATAAATTATAGTGTAATAAAAATTTGACTAAATCTGACTAAAAATTTTCAAGTTATGACCATTAAAAAAATATGCCATGCATGTATATACTGTACAGTGCATCAGTTGTTGGTGGTGTTTAGCTACTTATGTCATAAGTTGAACTATTCAATGTCAGTTATTAATTCAATTGTGATGCTTCACTGATCAATTACGTGAGGTAGTTGAAGCATATGATGAGATAATTAATGTGTTTATGTTAAGTGTACTAATGGATTCTGTGTAATAATTAATAATCTTTTACTTAGTAATATAGTAAGTCTCCTTTTTCATTAAAAGGTACTTGTGTAAATGCGCCATCATACTTGTAAAATTTACAGAATGCATTTTTATTATTATTTATTTATTAATTTGCAGGTGTTTGGGGTGTCGGTTTAGCCACACCCACAGTATCCTTGGATACAGTTCCCCTCGGTACTGATACCAATAGTTGGGTACTAACATCAGAAGGTACTACCGTACACAACTCACAGACTATCAGCAGAGGAAAGCAGAAACCAAATGAAGGAGACATCATTGTGAGTTTAATTAACATGATATATCAAGCAACTTCATTGATTACCAGTAATTCTTATCATATTGGTTTTTATTAAAATACTACATAGTTTAATTGCAGTAATTTGTTAGTGTAACCATGACACTACTAACATTATATGAATAGTACAAATGAAATATTTTTGCCATCTTCATGATGATACTGGTTGCTCTATGACTGTCTCTAGGGTATCAGTTATGATCATGTTGAAATGAACTTCTTTCTTAACGGCAAATCAATGGACCTGCCAGTAACTGGTATCAGAGGAACAGTCTTCCCTGCTATCTATGGTATGTTGTTATATACTCTCTCTTATGTGTTTTTATGTACTAGTATATACATATATGTGAGTTTGTGTTATTAATAGAAAGAAAGAATTGTTGATCATTCTTTTATGCATAGACATAGTTTGGGTTGTACATAATACATGAACATATATTATATACTTTAATACATCTACAGTATAGTCTCTCTTAAAATAGCGTACACCTCCATTTAACGGACAGCACCTAGTATACCAATTACATTCCTTACTGTATAAAATAACCTCCACATAAAGGACACCTCTGTATAACAGAGACACTTACAATAATAATAATTATTATAATTATTATTATTATTATTATTATTTTTCCTAGTTGATGATGGTGCTATATTAGATGTACAGTTCATGGATTTCACTTACCCTCCTCCTGATGGCTACGATCAAATACTTTTGGAAAGAAACCTTTTATGAAAGACCCTCTGATTTTATTATTTTGTGTCGTTTAATTTAATGATGAGTGTGACTTTTATGTACCAGTATAGTAATGCATGTATGAAATTATACCATTTTTAATGATCTGCAGTCATTAATAGTAGAGTAAGTTTCTTTTATTCTACTATCTATGCTGGCAGTGACCACACCTCTGCAGCAATAGCTATTATAGATCTATCTACTATGGCAAAGAGCAACAGTAGCCCTGGCAGCAAACCTCCTTTTCTTGAACACAATCCGTTACTGACAAAAAAGGCTGGCCATTATGGTCACATCAGCAGGGTATGTTGCATTCCTTATAGAGGAGCCTTTGTAGTATTAATTTGGAGCCTGTTGATCCATTCGGCTGGATTCACTGAGAACATACTCCATTATTCCGATCTGGTTGACTTCTTAAAAGGAAATCCAAACTATATGGATGTTGTAAGATTTCTCATCCTCTCCATAATGATCTTAACTTTGTTGTTTGCACCTGTGGCTGGTTTTCTCGCTGAAAGATGCTTCACTAGATTCAGGTTTTTATTAGGAAGTACTATTATTGTCATAATCGGCTATGTAATAGTGTCTGTTTCTGCCAAATTGAATTTTGATGAAAAGAATCGTTATACCGGCTTTTCTATATCAACTCCTCTAAAAATAGCACTTTGTACTGGACTTGTGGTTTATCGAATTGGATGGGGTATGTTTGAAGCAAACGTCATTCAATTTGGTGTTGATCAATTACAATTTGCTGGCAATGATGAACTTGGTAAATTTGTTAATTGGTACTTTTGGACTCGCTTTGTTCTTACATGGACACTAATATCTTTAATACTGATACCTTTTTCTAATGCATTCACTGTCTTTTACTACATGTACCTCTCTTTCTCACAGATTATTTTTGCTACAGTCTGTAGTATTGTTGCATTACTGATTGTCATCTATTCATTCTGCAAGGGCCACTTTATAATTGAGCCAACAAGTTACTATAACCCAGTAGCACTAATCGCTAAAGTACTTAACTATGCTAGGCAGCACAAAGTACCTGTGAGACGCAGTGCTTTCACCTATGGGGAAGATATGCCTTCAAGAATAGACATTGGCAAGGAAAGATATGGTGGACCTTTTACTAGTGAGCAAGTTGAAGATGTCAAGTCATTCTTAAGAATATTATTGCTACTTTCATCACTATTTGGTATGTTATTAATTAACTTTGAACGTGATCCTTTTGGTCAAATTCTTTTTCATTATCCAACATTGTCAAATGAAACTTTCACAATGCTGTACATATCAAATGCTGTTTCTAGTCTGTCTGTATCTCATATCATTCTTATCGTTGGAATTCCTTTTTACATGTGCATATTGAGGCCTCTCAAGCTTATACGCAATCATACACCAAACATGCTGAAAAACATGGGCATTGGTCTACTAGTTATCTGCTTTAAGTTAAGTTTCGATACTGTGAGTGCTGTGTTGATATTTGATGGGTTCTCCAATATTACAACATCTTGTATGGATGTAGTTTCATTTAGCACCAGTGAAGATGTGATACCACTTCGAGAGAACACTCAACTAATTGCTGCACTTTCTCTAATAGTGATAGCACAAATATTAAGTGGTGTAGGATTTATTCTTGTCTACTTGACAGCATTTAAATTCATATTAGCTCAGTCACCTCGTAATATGCAAAGTTTTTTAATCGGACTCTTTTATTTCTATACTTCATTTCAAGTGATGCTATACCTCGTCTCAACCCTACCTAACAGCTACATATTTTGCAACTACTGGTTTTATGCTATGAAAACAGGGTTAGGTATACTATCGTTTCTTCTGTATGTTGTAGTGTCTCGCCATTATAAGTATCGTCAAAGAGATGAACTGTCTACTGTTAATTATCAGACTATCATTGAAGAATACACGGATAGACATTTGCAGAGACAAAAAAATTTAATGGCAGAAAGTAATTCTGCATTTTCTCTTTCTGATTACAGCATCAGATCTGCTAATATTTGCCCCCATTAATAATTGTTTGTGCCTGTGGTAGATCTATATAGATTAGTTTTTGTTTTGATGTTTCAAAACTAGAAGGTGTGGCTCAGTTTTGCAGGAAACAGTATGGCGGTTCCTGTCGTTGATTTCAAAGATGTTTTATCATGTCTTGATGTAAGTACCTGTCCTCAGGTACAAGAAATACACTCGGCATTCACTACTGTTGGATTTGTATTCATAACTAATCATGGCATAAGAAGACCTCTGGTAATAAATTAGTTTTAATCATGCGTTTTTCGTTTGTTTTCCCTTTGTGTAGTTCATCTACAGTACTAGCTAATCATGACTAGTTTGTCTTATATTGTTGTTTCATTATGTATGGTACTGAACTTCACTAAATTGATAATAATAATAATAATAATAATGTTCTTTTTGTAGGTTGACGAAGCATTTTCTGTTGCTAAGAAGTTCTTTGAGTTGCCACATGAATCAAAGAAGAAGTACTCACGAACAAGCACTTCAGGAAACAATGGCTACATAGAGATGGAGCAGGAAGAGTATGCTGTAGACATTTTAATTTGAATAGGTATAATACTTATTTATTTAGTATTGATCCAACGAAACCAGGGGACTTAAAAGAAGCTTTTAATATTTGTTCACCGACTGAATGTGTGAGTTTTTAGTAGTTGAATAAGAGATACATTTTGGCATTTATGCTTGTGTGTATTGTATCCAGAGAAGTAAAATAATGGTTACTACTAATCTGTACTATTTTTGATTGATTCTTATATTGCTCAGTTTCTGATAAATATTCTTTATTAATATTATTGTTAACAGGTATATCCAGATGATGAAGTGTCTGATTTTAAACCAGTAATGACTGAAATATTAGGGACTAGTAGGACACTAGCACTGAAGATACTAGAAGTGATGGGACATGCTTTAAAGCTCCAGGTATACAGTGCAATCTATCAAACATCATTGAATGATAGTAGAATGTTTAAACGTAGAACGTTTTAGCTGTTTTTGATCAAAATTAGATTTTTTTTACAAATTTCTAAAGTTGCTCCAAAATCAGACAAAATTCCCTGTACTACGTCTCAGGCCAAATTTTACAAAAATGAAAAGATGAGAATTCTCAATTTCATAACACTTTTTTATGCATGTATATGTACTTATATTGCATAGAAAGTTATAGCTCCAGTCAAAATTAATTTTTGTTACAAATTCTTAAATTTACTATCATTTCTCTAGGATCCACAGTTCTTCGTCAAAAATCATCAAAACCTATCCAATACAACGATACCCAGTTACACGACGGCACGTGTCCTGTACTATCCTCCTCTTCCTTCACCAGCTGCCGTTAAACCTGGTCAGTTGAGGTGCGGAGAGCACGTGGACTATGGATCAATAACTTTACTCTTTCAGGACCCCAGCGGAGGACTCCAGGTGCTGCATGATACCTACATTATGAGTATCATCAATATATACATTGTTAGATCTAAAAATGATTTTCGGAGACCAGCCTTACTAAACATGGTAGACTTAATGACTAAATATGAGAGACCAAAAGTCTCCTAAACTCTTTCTAGATTTAACAGGGATTATTATTGTTATTATTATTATTATTATTAATATTATAAAAAAGGAACAATAAAACAGGTTAGGTTTATTATTATTATTATTATTGCAATTCTTATTATTATTATTAGGTTAAACAGAGTAATGGCAGCTACATTGATGTTCCTTACAAATCTGATGCTGTTTTAGTCAACTTAGGAGCTCTAATGCAAAACTGGACCAGTGACACTTACATAGCATCAGTAGGTGCTTCATATCTACACTAAGAATTATAAATTATTCTTTTATAGCCACATCGTGTTCTCAATCCTATTAATGATACACTTTGGAATAGCTCAAGACAGTCCATGGCAATATTCATTCATCCTGATAATGACTCACTCATTGAATGTATTGATGGCTCCAATAAATATCCACCTGTCACTGCTTATGAAGACTCTTACCGGAGGCTGTTTGTCACTTACGAGAAATATGATAAGACAAATGAAACTCAATCATGAGTGTATAACATGTTCTTTATTGTTGTAATCTACCGTATAACGCTTTAATTTGGCGGAGTTTTATTTTGGCGATTGGCAGTTTGCAAGCAGAACCGCCAATATTAAAACCGCCGATCATTAATGCGCATGCTCAGTAATGCACGTGTTCACAAAAATCGCCAAATTAAAAACCGCAAATTACAATTTTACAGCAAATCGCCAAAATAAAGCGTTATACAGTATATTTAGTTTATATTGTATAAAGACTGTCACAATTGAAGCCTGGGGCTACATGCATTAAGTGAATATAATCACATATAAAGTAGAGCCATATTAACATCACATTTTACTACTTTTGGTAGCTACACTGTATAATAAAAGATAGTTCTTCACATCCAACATACAAGCACATAGTCTCTTCAGTGTATGTGGATTAAGGAAACTGATTGGTACTTTAAGTACACTGTATGTACCAATACATAACATAACATAACATTTTACAGAAAATAATAATTATAATATAATATATGTATACGTTTTATACACAGCAAGACTTTGAGTTAATAATGATAATAATAGTTCAGAGACAAACGATTAATGACAATAACAATAATAATAATAATAATAATGATAATAATGAAAATAGTTGTTTATTGTGACATGAAGTCCTGAACTGCAGTTACTAAGCTAGCAGCATCAACCTCGCTCTCACTGAACATGAACAGAGCATGCTTACTACTGCCTTCTTTAGCAATGAACACAAAGTGACTCCTAATAATAAAAATAAAACACAATTAATTTACATTAATTATGGTAAATTGGTAGTGCTTAAGTTTGGTTTCATATATATACAGTATAGTCTCTCTTAATGGACACTCTCTATAGCATACACCTCCATTTAACGGACAGCACCTAGTGTACCAATTACATTCCTTACTGTATAAAATAACCTCCACATAAAGGACACTTCTGTATAACAGAGACACTTTCTTGTACATAAGTGTCCATTATATAGAGGCTAGTCTGTACATGTAGTGAGGAAGCAATTAAATGAAATACAAGTACTACAGCAACATAAGAGGAACACAGCCAATACAACAGGAAGTAGTTATTATACTAGTAGTTATTAAGTAGTTATTATACTTGCCTTATCCTCACGCAGTATGTGATCTTCTTTGATGAGATGTGCTTTGATACAAAGTATTTCTTCTGTGGGTCGTTAATGGTGAAACCACTTGAGGACACAACTAGTTCCACTAGGTGAATTCCTGATGTTCTTTTAGTTGCTTTTTGAAGAGGCTCTGTCACCACGTCAATACCCTTTGGTTTAGAAACGGGTTCCATCCCAAGGAACTGTACGATAAAGTTTCTACTTGTGGGCGGAGCTGCTTCCTACATTAAGTAATGAGAAAGTACACATGAACATAAACAGCACTGCATGACTATCATTAAATATTAGGGGGTTGACTTCTGAGCCATTTTTTGGAAAATTTTTCAGAATTTTGACATTTTCTTAAAATGGCCATAAGGCTATAGCCCATAAAAACCATGGACTATAGCCTTGGGTATTTTTCAGAATTTTGGCATTTTCTTAAAATGGCTGTAACTTGAAAAATTGAAGTCGGAATCACCTCAAACTTTCTACACAGCATAAGTACATCAATATGTATCAGAAAATGTAATAAAAATTTGGGGTGATTTCGGAGCCATTTTTTGGAAAAAACCATGGGCTATAGCCTTGGGTATTTTTCAGAATTTTGGCGTTTTCTTAAAATGGATGTAACTCAAAAAATTGAAGTTGGAATCACCTCAAACTTTCTACACAGCATAAGTACATCAATATGTATCAGAAAATGTAATAAAAATTTGGGGTGATTTCGGAGTCATTTTTTGGAAAAAACCATGGGCTATAGCCTTGGGTGTTTTTCAGAATTTTGGCATTTTCTTAAAATGGATGTAACTCAAAAAATTAAAGTCGGAATCACCTCAAACTTTCTACACAGCATAAGGACATCAATATGTATCAAAAAATGTAATAAAAATTTGGGGTGATTTCGGAGCCATTTTTTGGAAAAAACCATGGACTATAGCCTTGGGTACTTTTCAGAATTTTGGCATTTTCTTAAAATGACTGTAACTCAAAAAATTGAAGTCAGAATCACTTCAAACTTTCTACACAGCATAAGTACATCAATATGTATCAGAAAATCTAATAAAAATTGGTGAGGTGTTAAAAACTATTTGGTAGTCATTACATACTCTTTAATCAATTACTTAATTAATTACCTCTTCATTTTCGTTGGGAGATTTTGTTGTTTTCCAACTTCCAATTCTTTTAAGAAGTGACTTCTTATGACCACGCCCCTAACGAGTAATAAATACATTAAAAATATAAAATGGAGAATTCTCTTCTCTTCATTATACCCTATACTACAGTACATTACCATTAAATTAACTTAAATAGTATAATAATTATGCTCAGTAGTATAGTATCATTAACATGTACAATTCTGTAGATTATGTACATTTGATTCCGAGTGAGAGTCCTCGTCAATCATGTGGGCGTCAATGACCCTCTGGTAGCGAGACTGACAGGCGGAATGAAGTGCTAGACAGATCTTATCGGAATTAGGCTCACAGAAGAAGCCATGGAACTGGAACTGGTTGTCACCGTTATCAACAACATAACCACAATATCTATATTAATAATAATAATAATAATAATAATAATAATAATAATAATAAATTATATATACTTACTGGTCATCGTGAGCTATTCCAAGGAAGGACAAGAATCTAATCCGATGTTCTTTCAATACTATCTCATTCTATAAATAAAGAAAATTAATAATAACTATTAAATACAACATCAAATGTAAATTGAATAGCCAATATCCTGTGTAGTCTACATATGGTAGGTTACTGTATTACTGAATGAGTGTACATGTACTATAGGTGGGTGTGTGGGTGGGTGGATGTGATGATGCTAGTGAATATGTACATGTACAGTACAATGTAAAGTGATAAATGATTTACAATTCATGGACATACATGTGTATACACCAATCTCTCCCTCCTCTCCCTCTGTCTCTCTCTCTCTCCCTCCCTCCCTCCCTCCCTCCCTCTCTCTCTCTCTCTCTCTCTCTCTCTCCCTCTCCCTCTCTCTCTCTCTCTCCCTCCCTCCCTCCCTCTCTCCCTCCCTCCCTCTCTCTTATACTTTAGTATCCAATATCCTAATATGGGAAGAAGCCACATCAACATAAACTGGTATCCATTTTGATTTGTCTCTTGATAGATACGACACTGACTCGTTCACTACTCTTATTCCGTGAGGTGACGTCACAAAACGAGATCCTAAATAGACCGCCTCCAACCTCTTGTACTTTTCAGTACCTAATAAGGATTAAGAGTAACGTGTACATGTACATGTACATGAATATGTGTGTGTGTGTTGTGTGTATTAATGTACATGTACATCAAAAGGTGGTGAGTATCAGTAATGTAATACCTGAGTCCCTTGATATCTGCCCTCAGCTTCACCTCAAG